ATGGTGTGGGCTATGGTATGCTGATACTGACTTTGTTCTTTGCTGTTTGCTTCCCTTAAGATTTTCTCAAAACAAGAAATTCAAAATATAAGAAACTGTTTAGACATGGTGGGGTTAATTTTTTTTTTGGCTGCTCCTTGATGTGCTGCTTAAACATAAATAAGGTATTACTTCTGTTTGTCGTCCCCTGATGTTTTCTTTTTTCTTGCCTATTTTAAGTTAACGCTGAAAACCCACCTATGGCCGTGGTTCGGAAATTTGTCCACTTGCTCGATCAGAGTGACCAAGATTTTCAGGAGGAGCTTGAGTTAATGAAACTGCGTGAGGAAGTTGTAACCTTGATCCGATCCAATCAGCAACTGGAAAATGACCTCAATCTCATGGACATCAAAATTGGGCTGCTAGTGAAAAACAAAATTACACTGCAGGTAAGAAATGTGCTGATGGGAGACCAGATACAGAGTGAATTGAGCCCAGTGGTAGTTAGCATGGAGAGCTCTAGGCCCAGTAGAAAACATTGCCCCAGACTAGCACTCGTACTCTCTGTATGTTCTTAGTCCATTCCACTAATGTAGGATGTATCCCTAGAAAGAAAACTGTAGGAGGAGAAGGAACAAGATCTGAAGCTAAAAAAGGCAAACATACCCCAGACTATCTTGATCTAACAAATGCAACAGATTTTGTGTTTAAAGGCTATGTTTTGTTGCTCCTTTGTGGTTAAACAAGTCACATGCCAGAAGGCTGTAATGAGGTGGGTGATTTTGGAGACAGGAGACACACTTGTGCTACTTGGTGATTTGTTGGTTAAAGGAAGCCCTCTCTATCACTTGGCTGGTGTGATTTAAAGAACAAAAAAAGGCTCTTGCTCATAGAGCACTGCCTTTTCTTCAAGCTGAAGTTCTGGTCAGCTTTTCATGTGGTCCTGGATTGCATTACACTAGGCTCCTCCCAGTGTTAAATCTCAAGTTAATTCAGTGTGGGACAGGATTTTCAAGTTGTAAGCGCAGTTTAAAAAAAGGAAAACATTTTCAAGCATCTTCAGGGTGCTACCAGCTCTGATTGCTGAGAGTGACTAACCCTTCTAGGGTTTCAGGCAAATTTAGGAAGTCAGAGACAAAGCAGAACATATACTTCCAGTCAGAGAAACTGCTGCTATAGCAAATAATGCTTCACTTTAATAGCCCCAGGCATAGCTTGACCCTGCCTTTCCACATCCAAGAGAAATGGGCTCTTTGATGCAACTGTTTTCCAATATTGCCTGTTAGAAGCTTTATAAGGCAGAATCTGTACCTATTCTTTCTTTCCAGGATGTTGTTTCTCATAGCAAAAAACTAACCAAGAAGAACAAGGAGCAGCTTTCTGACATGATGATGCTGAGCAAACAAAGGGGAGGTTTGAAAGCTTTGAGCAAAGAGAAGAGAGAAAAATTGGAAGCTTATCAACATCTGTTCTACCTGCTTCAGGTAAGCAACTTTGTACGCTGCTCAGTAACCTCTTGTCATAAAGGTTTATATGTCTTAGCACAGTCTTTGCTTATGCACTGTAGTTTTCATAGAATCATTAAGGTTGGAAAAGACCTTTAAGATTATCAAGTTCAACCAGCAACTGTTTTGAGCCACCTTAGTTCTTAGTGACGCCATTGTGGACATGCACACCATGTAGTTTTTCTTGTTGTAGACTAACCCAACCTACCTGGCCAAGCTGATTTTTCAGATGCCTCAAAACAAATCTACAAAGTTCATGGATTCAGTTATCTTCACGCTGTATAACTATGGATCCAATCAAAGAGAGGAATACCTGTTGTTGCGACTTTTCCGAACGGCGTTGCAGGAAGAGATCAAGTATGTAGTAGCACGTGGCACATTCTGGCTGTTGAATCAGTTTTGGCGATTTCTCCATTTGCGTCGGTTTTCGTGTTAAGTCTCATGCAAATATGCAGATAACGCTAATCTGTCCCTTCATTGTCCTCTTGTTATTTCCTATCTGTTAATGTAGTCTATAAAAGGTGAATCAAGTATATCCATTGAGGATGAGGGCTTTTTACTTCAGTGAAGATTTCACTGCTCAACATGGCAGTTACTTTTCATCTGATGCAAAGTCACGCTAAAATTCCATCCAACCTCAGTTCTCCCATGCTGGACTATAAGCATGTCCAACAAACTGCAAACTCAGGCTTTACAAGCCAGGGAGAGAACTAAATCTGAGCTCTCTGGGTTTTCAAAAGCTGATGAGTCTGAAACCAAGAGCATTTATTGTTTGACATTTCTGTTTCCTGTCAGTGTTGGAAACTCTGGCTGTCCTCTGGCACGTTTTGTTAGATTGGTCAGGCCTTAGGCTTTTGGTGTTATATCACCAGTTCTTTACAATTCAGAGCAGCACAACTTGCTGCAAGGAAAAATGCACAATAAAATTTTTGAGGAACTACTCTTTAAGCATTTTCAGGAATGCTTTTTAAAAAGCATGAAGGTAGTCTGTTGCCCTAAAACAAATAACTTCTGGAGGAGCTTTTTGTTTTCCTAAATTTATGCTCAGAATAGTAGTCCAGGGAAATGTAGATGCTGACAGTTAGGCATACCTGATACTTCATGTAGCTTCTTTCTTCTTCAGATCAAAAGTAGACCAGATACATGAAATTGTGACTGGGAATCCTACTGTTATTAAAATGGTGGTAAGTTTCAACCGTGGTGCCCGTGGTCAGAATGCCCTGAGGCAGATCCTGGCACCGGTTGTGAAGGAAATCATCGATGACAAATCACTTAATATCAAAACTGATCCAGTGGATATTTACAAGTCTTGGGTTAACCAGATGGAGTCTCAAACTGGAGAGGCCAGGTATGGGACCTGTAAATACTGTGTTTTTAGAAACATTGCTTGTCTGCTTTGCATTGGCCGGTTAGTCGTTCAGAACTGTCCCTGGCTTTACTGCATGCGTCTGTCCAGCTGATCCCGGCTTTTCCGTCTCCTCGAGTCGGCTTTCATCTGAGGGTTCGAAAGATCACGTTCTGCCGATGGTACTGAGAGGATTGAAAAGGAATGTAGTTCAGAGCTGGAAGAAGAAATGCTCTTTGGTGTTTTCCTGTATTGACTTAACAGTTAGCTATGAGATGCCCTCTAACCTAAATGAGGTCATGGTAAGAAAATGTATTTGGGAGTTGCGTCTGGGTCGGTCCATGTTCGGCTTGTATATATATAGCCTGTGCAAACAGGTGCTATTTGCAAGTCAACGAAACCTCTTTTGCTGAAGGAGAGTTCTAATTAATATAAGCCACTGATGACAGTTGTATTTTGCTGGGTGTTTTTGTGTCATTCTGGTTTCTTTTTCTTCCTATCCTTGTGATTTGCTAGAACTTAAGGTTTCTATTGTGGTGTTTTTTTAACATGCTTTAAAAAAAGAAAGCTGTGCAGATGAGTGAGTTTCCCCATTCTAAGCAATCTGCAGTCATGTGTCTTTATACACTTGGTGGAAAATTCTGTACGTGTTAAAAATGCAGGCCAAGGTGCGTGTGTTCAGGTTCTTCTCTTTACCTGAGATTTAGGATACACTTTTATGAATTACCAGCTTCATCTGTCTGTGTTCACTGGAATACCATGCAGTAGTTTCAGCTGATGGAGAAAATGCAACTGTTCATTTGCACTGTTTCCCACCAATAGCTTATTATGTTGCTTTTATGAATGCTATTCTTGCTTCTGGTTTGTCTCATGTTTTTGTCATCTTAATACTCCAATGAATAGCTTGCTTTTTCATCAGTTTATTTGCAGTCTGAAGTACCACTGTTTGTTACAGGTGGTGGGTTTTTTGCCTAGTATGCGTGCTGTAAGAAAGATTCCGTTTTGAGTTAGCTGAGTCTTTTCTTGCAGTGGCCTTTGCAAGGGAAAGTAGAGGAAGTAAAAGCAAAAAATCTTCAGCTCTCATGGTGTCTAAAAGGTTAATTAAAGACAGTGCACAGCTCTTGGCAGTGAAGTGAATATAAATTTGTTTCTGTGTCAAGCTGTAAATTCTTGAAATGTGTTAGCCTGGGTAACTTTCACCTTTCTGTGTTTGACTTTTTCAAATAGCAAACTGCCATATGATGTTACACCTGAACAAGCTCTAAGTCATGAAGAGGTGAGGACACGCCTGGATGCCTCAGTCAGAAACATGAGGACAGTGACAGACAAGTTCCTGTCTGCCATTGTTAGTTCACTGGACAAAATCCCGTGAGTCTGATGTACCACAGTGTTCCTTACCTCTGAGAAGCTTTTGATGGATTCATGCTTGCAGCAGTCTTATTTGAGCTTTTCTTTCTGTCAAAGTTATGGAATGCGTTTCATTGCCAAGGTCCTTAAAGACTCCCTGCATGAGAAGTTTCCTGATGCTGGCGAGGATGAGCTGCTGAAGGTGAGGGGCTGCACACATTTACCAATAATTGTCAGCCAAATTGGCTGTGGCAAGGACGACTAATTCTTCTGTCTTGTTGGGTGTCTGTGTGGAGAGAAGTGCATGTAAACCTCTATAAAGCTTATTTATTTACCTCTACAGATACAAAATATTTCACATTGGCCTTTTCGATGTTAGCTTCATATACATCATCTGACATATAACACATTGTTTAGAAGGAGGTGTCCTATTGCTTCTGCTTTGCTTTTAGTGTCTTGGGCATTTGGTCCTTTAGGTTTCTTGACTTGGGTTACTGTTGCTCATAGAAAGTAAACCTTGGTTTTGCAGTTATTGTCACAGCCAGCTGCTCCTTTCTTAAAGAGACAAGTTAAAAAACCTGTCTGTAGCACACTAGTATATTTTAACAGCCATATGTAGAGACTCACTTCTCATGAATGTCTAGTCAGTTTTGTACTTTGCACTTCAGTAGGTTTGGAGAACTAAAAGGATCCTAACAGTAGGCACTCTCAGATGAGTATAGCTTTGGGGTTTTCATTGAATTTGCATTGGTTTTATGGCTTTTGGTAATTGTGAAGGCCTTTATGCCCACGAATGCTATACTTGTTAATACAACAAAGTTTGGTTCTTAGAATACTCGACAACGTCTCTTTAAACTTCTCTGCCTCTACTTCATTACAAAATAATTACCAATCTGAATGCTGTTTTCTTCTCTCTTCTAGTTCTGTGCTTTCCCATTCTGAGACATCGATTCTTTCTATGCAGGTGAATTAATTTCTTCCATCTGTAAATTTAGGTGGAAAACTGCAGTTTTTGTTAATTCTAATGGAAACAATGTAACTGTCCATGCGAAAGCCAAACTGCAGTTGCGTGCAATAACAACTTGCAGATTTTTTTAGCAACCAAAGATACCAATTTAATATACTGTTCTTTTTGCCCTGCAAGGTCAGAAGTTATTAATTCAGTTTCTTTCACAGATGTTTTTTCTTATTACTGGTAATAAACAGCTTTGACTGATATCATCCCCTGACCATAATCTGGGAGAGTACAGCAGGGGCTTGCATGAAACAGTTGTCAAAAACATGACCTCACTGAAAGCAGGTGTTAGTTTCTGGGACTGCTTAGCAATGTGTAGATTTTTTCTCTGTTTTCAGCTGTTTGTTCAGACCCCGATCTCTTCTGTGCATTTAAGTCACGCGGCAAGCAGGCGAACCCAAGATTCAGTGACCTGGCCTTCTGCAAATGGGCGTGTGGTGTGAGAACTGTCACTTTAACTCAGCATGTTGGGTTATTCCTTTTCATTACTGGAATTACTTTTGACAAAATATCAAATACAGGTTAGAATTATATTTGTGAGCATATGGATAATGTGGTATCTTTATTTGTAGTTCCTTGAAATTTATTGCTGCTCACATTCGACTAGGTAAATTGGATTTTGAAGCATCAGATGTCATTCATCTTCTGTACTTCTGATTTTCTTACCTGTAGATTTAAATGGTTTCACAGTTACTGTCATTAACTGGGGGTCTGTGCCTGAAAGTGTTGCTGGCTTACAGAACAATTATTCTGAAAGAGAAAAGGGCTTTGGAGAAGGAGTGAAAAGTAATTTACTCAGTTTAGCTTCTTGGTGTGCCATTCTTCCTCACTGTTTTTGCCGTGTCGGAGATGGCAGCCAATGCTGCACGCTTCCCTAAGAATTACCTCTTGTTGCATATTGAAACTGCATTATCAGGTGCCTCCATACCGTGGCCGTTCTGTCCTCTGTTAGACTGACTCAATTACATTTAATTCTCCTGATAGACTGTCTTGTGCTCATACCAGTAGTCCATTGGTAACTTGTAATATCTCCTGTTCATACATTTTTATGAGTTAGAGTTCTAAGTCTTTATGCATAGGGATATCTGCTGCTGTGTTGTCCGGTGCCTAGTAGTGCTCAGTCTTTCCTCGTGTTGACTGTCCTATTGCATCCTAATGATTTATTTTTTTTATGCTGTAGATTCTTTGAGATGGTATGTGCTTCTCTACAGCAGCATGGCAGAACCTTTGTCTTGGAAAGGGGCTTCTGGCTTACAAGAAAATAATTTATCAAAGCACAGAGTAGTTTCAATAAAATTCAGTTGCATCCTGTACGATTGTTCATTGATGCATTTCGTCTTTACTCAACTTTTCCTAGATTGTTGGCAACTTACTCTATTATCGCTACATGAATCCAGCCATTGTTGCTCCAGATGCGTTTGACATTATTGACCTTTCAGCTGGAGGTCAGCTGACCACAGATCAACGCCGAAACCTCGGCTCCATTGCAAAGATGCTGCAGCATGCTGCGTCCAATAAGATGTTCATGGGAGACAATGCTCACCTAAGCATCATTAATGAATATCTATCACAGTCATACCAGAAATTCAGGTAGGAGACCTTAGTCAATGAAATTTGGAAGCTTGGCAGAGGGTAACATTGGCAGATATAAAGGGGCAATAATGAGTTTTCAGTGTGATAAATTCTCTTTGCCAAATATGCAGTCTGTTAAAAATAAAAGATTGCATTCCAGACTGCCGTAAGCATCAGTGGCAATGGCAGATAAGACATGTACCTGGAATTTATGAGCAATATTGTGGTTATGAGATTGCAAAGTCAAGTGTTTTGATTTAGGAGTTTCCGGAATAAAGGTTGCTTTTGCACTTACTTAGTGTCTTACTTTGGCCATGGAGAACTAGAGTGGGCATACCTTCTTCTGTCCCATGTGAACCCTGTTTACATGTCAAAGTCCAGTGGTGCTCAGGAATAAAGCAGGTTGGCATTTAGCTGTTCATGCAGTTGAAGTAAGCTTTTGTTTAAGAAGCCTTATCTTATACCTCTTGTGTTTTGGAAGAAAACTAACCAGAGGTTCCTAGGGCCAAGGGGCGATAATGCAGTGAAGGCAGGAGGATGTGTGAACAACATCACTGAAACCATAGACTAGTCCTGTGAATTCTGAAAATGACTGAATGTCAACATGGCCAGTATCAGTAACTGAATTTGCTGTGTTGCTTCTGATGTGTTAAACTGAACCGTACACTACGATGTAACATAGTTTAAAGGAGAGAGACTGTGCTTGAGGTTATCATGGGCAGTTAATGCTGTTGATAGACCATGTCACTCAGAGTCATACTGACTGTTTTTCTCTCCTCCTTTGTTTGGAAGACGTTTTTTTCAGGCTGCTGGTGAGGTTCCTGAATTGCAGGACAAATTTAATATTGATGAATATTCTGACTTGGTGACTCTCACTAAACCAGTTATTTATATTTCTATTGGTGAAATCATCAATACACACACTGTAAGTATATGTTAGTCACAGTTGCTCCTTCTAAGCTGTGCTTGCTAAGAAAATGCTACCTCTGGCTGAAACACAAAGTTACCAAATACAAGGCAGAAAGTTGTCTTTTGGTTGTAGTGTGTGACGGCTTGTTGTTTTATAGAATCAAGTCATTTAATTATGGCTTCACTAAGTTTCGTTTGAAAGCATTTCAGTATGTGATAATGGCACATCTTTGATATTGCTGCTTTGGAGTTAGTTCAGTGAAGTAAGAATTTTTATTTTTCTGAAAGATAATGTAGTTAAAGTAATGTAATTTTACTGTGTAGAAAAGGATGTACTGTTAACAACATAATTGTTTTTCTGTTCACCTAGTTGCTTTTAGACCATCAAGATGCAATTGCTCCTGAGCACAATGATCCAATTCATGAGCTGCTGGATGATCTTGGAGAAGTTCCTACAATTGAGTCCTTAATAGGTAGTCTAGTTTACTCTATTTAAGAAATAGGTGATGCTGCCTTAATGATTTAAAGTACAGTAAAGAAATTGTAAAGTATAAAGGGAATCATCACAGGTCATTTGGGAGGACGTGCTCTAAAAAGTAGCAGCAGATTTGCTGCAGTGTATTCTCTCTGGCTGCAGAATTTATTACCCTGAAAAAATGCAGGGATTCTTTCGCTTCTGTCCACCCACCTCACCCCACTCTAGAAGTTTCTAGAAGACAGACAGATATTTTGACGTATTTTCTTTGTTCCATTTCTTTGTGTTTGTGTCCCTGTTCCAGCTTGTTTGCAAAGATTCTCTGAAAGTCTGTAGGTATTCCTTTTAGAATGCAGTAATAAATGTACTAAATGGCATGTGTTCCTTTAGGGTTCTTTGGCACATGGACAAGTAACTTTTTTCCCCTCCTTTAGAGTTTTTTCTGCACATTATGAACTCTTCTGGTTGGGGGAAGAAGGAACTGGCTATTAATATGTGAAACTCTTCTCGAAACCTGAGCCATAGTTTACTGCTTCAGGATGTAACAAATACCTGGAAAGATGCAGAAATCTTTCTTTTTCCTTGTTTTTTTTGTTGCAACTATTTGAAGTTTGAAACAGCAAGGAGGGGTGTGAACAGGCAGAGTGTTTGGTGAGGATACTTTGGCAGCAAAACACTTCCCTTGAAGTTGCTTGATGGGAAAGGTTGGAACCTTTTAGAGGAATGATTGCTAGCAGATTTTCTTCCAAGCACTAGCAAAGAACAGAACAGAAGAAATGTTACCTGAGCTAACCTAGACCTTGGATTTAGCTAGAACTTGCCTTCCTTGCCCATTTCATTTCTCCTGTGTGCATGGTATTGCTGCAGTTAATATGTCAGAGTTTAATCTTTCTGCAGCCCTTTGAAAAAAGAGAGGGAAACCTCCTAACAACTGTTCTGGTGAAAACTCAGACACAATTGGAGCAAGAAGGTTTGTTTTTGATGGGATAGCTTACTTTGTTTCATAGAAGATTACAGGCTTGGTTGCCAACAAGGGCTTAACTCTTAGCTCGGAAGATTTGTTCTCTAGCATATTGAAGGTGATGTCTTTTAGAAGTTGTTTTTGGCTTTTGAAGTATCCTTTTGGCAGTATAGGAGACAGTTTAGTTTTTCTGTGAACTGTAACGTAGGGAAGAGTTATAAAGCTCTAGCAGTGAAGAAAGTAAAGAATGTGATTTAACCTATGAACTCTTTCTGCTTGGCAGGGGACGGGTCTGGCAATGTTAATGATCCCAACAGGGAAATGCTAGCAAAGACTGAGGTTTCTCTCACACTTACTAATAAATTTGATGTTCCTGGTGATGAGAACGCAGAGATGGATGCGAGGACAATTCTGTTGAAGTAAGTAACAGGAAACTACCTGGTATGTTTCTCAAAAGAAGAAGGAAGCAGAACTTTACAGCTAATCTGCTTGCAAAAATAAGAGAAACGAGGCATAATTTAAACAAATGTGGGACTGTTAGTCCAAATACACTGAGCTTGTAGCCATTTCCTTTTTGGTGCTGTGACATGACTTTTAATAGATGAAGACTAATATCGTTTTTTTGAGAGATGTAGGTGTTACTAGCCTAATGGAAAGAGATCAATGGACTGTCAGGGATTTCATTATAGCCAGAATCTTAATTCTGTAGAACTTTATACTAATATTGACTGCCAGTTTGAAGCAAATCCCTATTGCTGAGATGTATAGAGCAGCAACCTGACATTCAGATGCATATTTACCTGCTCTGGTGCCTTCCCGCTCAGATGCTAGATAGTTAATTCAGAATTCTTCAGGTCAGCTTGCACTTGCCCTAGACAGACCAGCAGTCTCCCTGAAGAAAACTGTGTCTCCAGAAATAACTTTAACTGAACTTTTTGAAAGATACATCAGTATTTTCCCACCCACCAGAACAAGGTGTCATTTATTTCAAAAGTAAAGATTCACCAAATGCACTAGTAGTTATCTGAAGCTGTGGATGATGAGGAAGGTGTGCATGTGATGCATTTTGTGTCATGCCAGAAATAATTCCAGCCTGATTGCAAAGTACTGAAGATGTTATTTAGTTTCATCATATGGCTCAAGGACAGAAATGCCTTGGAGTGGGCACTGACTGCAGTTAAATCTCAGCTGAGGTCAAGGAATGACCCTACCTATCACCAGATTGGACTCAGGGATCTTGTCTCTATTACGGTGTGCATAAGAAAATAATCCTTTGGAGTTTTGTGATACCCATTACAAAGCACAAAGGTGCACTTCTGGAAGGATAGTATTACAGATCTTTTCTGGTTGCACAGATTTGCTGTGGCTGCTGCCTGCTTTATCTTTCCCCCTGAATGCAGCTTCTGTGGTCCACTTGGCAGTACTGGGGCTACCTTGGCATATATGGGGTAACATCCTTGTTGTTTGAGGGAGCACTGGGGAGCAAATCCTCTGTATTACATAGAGGAACCTTTCGGGAAAGTGGTTTCCAATAATGCACTGTCAAAAAAGTAAACTGCTCCTCAAGGTTCTGGTCTGGTTTAGCCTGTGACTACCTGAGTGCTCATCCAGTGATAATCTGACTTTAGGTAAATGAGTAACATGGATATTGTTGCAGAATAGAACATTATTGAAGGTCTTTCTATTTAAAGTGTTGTCTCCTATTCTCCTTGATTTCTTGGCAGCACAAAACGTTTAATTGTTGATGTAATCCGCTTCCAACCAGGGGAGATGCTGACTGAAATCTTGGAAACTACAGCTACCTCAGAGCAAGTAAGAAGTTGTTTATCTGCATTGGTTTTAGACTAGGAAGTCATCATCCATCTAGATATATGTGGGTATACATGGGAATCTCCATTTATATATTGTAGTAAAGCTGTCTCTACTGATGGTGGAGCAGATTGTAACAATAATAAGAAGGAATATAATGGAAGTAATTAATATCTGTGCATCTTACTCCTCTGGTAGCTGCTAGAAACTGTTTATCTAGAGGACCATTTTAAATGGCAGGTAGGCTTCTGCTGGTTGCCATGTGTGGAATGTATTAATCAAAATATTTGGAGTGAGTACGGGAAACCCCAAGCAAACAGTTGCTGTGTTATGCCAGAGGTCAGACAACCTGTTTCTCTTTCTTTGTCACCTTAATATTGATCTGCTTTTGAACTTAGAGTTTTTTTCTTTTCTTTTTCCAGGAAGCGGAACATCACAGAGCCATGCAGAAACGAGCCATTCGTGATGCTAAAACTCCGGATAAGATGAAAAAATCTGTCTCTGTAAAGGAAGATAGCAACTTGAATCTTCAAGAGAAAAAGGATAAAATCAAGGCAGGGCTGAAGAAGTTGACAGAACTGGGGACAGTGAATGCCAAAAATAAATACCAGGAACTAATCAATGACATTGCAAAGGTATGCCATTTGGTGGGTTCCTAGTTAGCATAGTGGAGTTTTCCCGCAGTCAGCAGCATTGTGAAGCTGGTGTGAGTTTTCAGGAGGAGTAAGGTTTGTAGTAGCTGATTTGTAGACACAAAGCCTACCTGATGGTGCAGTGTTTCCATCTCTTGGCATCTGGGAAGTCCTTTATTTTTATAGGACATTTCTATTCTCTCAAATGACTGTGTTGCCAGTTTCTCAGGTGCTTTAAGGAAAAGCTTTATAGCTTGGAGAAGTAGTGCTGATGTGTTATCTTTTTTCCTGCCCCTTGTTACTAATGTAAGAATTGCCTCTACAAGCTTGGTCACACAAGGAAGTTTTGCCCTTAGTAGTAAGACAACCTAACCGTTATTTTTATTTACATGTACCCATTCAAGAATACCTGAACAATAAAGAGAGGGTTGAACAGAGAAAAACTTGTACTGCTGTTGTACATTGCTATGGTTACAATGCATTTTACATCACATTTACTGAAAAACTGTTTGGGAAATGTTGTGTAAGTAAACTGACTGAGTAATCACTTTCAGAGATCTGATTGGAATTAATCGTACTGTGGATAATATGTATAAAAATTAAATAGCAGTCAATGAACACATGGTATTTTTTGTTCAGGTATTAAGTCAACTGATGCTTGAAGATGGCTGACTAACAAAAATAATGACATCTGTGCACTGCTATGATAGTGTTCGATTTGTAAGATACTTTCCCTGCTCAGTGGTGGCAAAAATGATTTAGATCATGTAGTCTCTGTGCCTGCTCTAGTCATTGCAACTAGGACAGCATTGAAGTTTGAGAAAGCACCAAGAAGTTGAAATACACTGCTGTGTAGAGTTTGGTTAGTTCCACAAATAGCCGTCACAGAAGGAGCAGTGATGCTTAAATCGGGGCAAGTGCATCTGAGTGCTTAAGCCTATAGTATGAAGCAAGACTAAACAAAATCAAATGGTGTGTTTCAAACACTATATGCTCTGGTCCTTAGCAACTGGAGAGCTGGAATTAGTGTTGAGACTCAGCCTGTCTTTCTCTGTGATGTAGGATATCAGAAATCAGCGTAGATACCGTCAGAGAAGAAAGGCGGAGCTGGTGAAGCTGCAGCAGACATACAGTGCCTTGAACTCCAAAGCTACTTTTTATGGGGAACAAGTTGATTATTACAAAAGTTACATAAAAACCTGCTTGGATAACTTGGCCAGCAAGGGCAAGTGAGTATCTTGGAATCATGGAATGGTTTGGGTTGGAAGGGATCTTTAAAGACCATCTAGTTCCAACCCCCCTGCCATGTTCAGGGGCACCTTCCACTCTACCAGGTTGCTCCAAGCCCTGTCCAACTTGGCCTTGAACACTTCCAGGGGTAGGGCAGCTACAGCTTCTCTGGGCAGCCTGTGCCAGTGCCTCAGCACCCTGACAGAGAAGCTGTTGACTGCTATTCTTTGAGTGCAACCATCAGATCAAGTCCTTACCTGCGTAGTGGTCCGTCTGTCAACTCCATGTCTCTGCGATTTAGAGACAAGGATGTTGTGCAGGATGGTGTCGAATGCTTTGCACAAATCCAGGTACCTGATGTCAGTCGCTCTTCCCCTCATCCACAAATGCTGTAACCCCATTGTAGAAGGCCACCAAATTTGTCAGGCACCTGAGTGAAGACATCTTGGCTGTCACCAACACCTCCTTGTTTTCCATGTATCTTGGCATAGTTTTCAGGAGCTCCACAATCTTGACAGTCACAGAGGTGAGACAGACTGGCCTGTAGTTCACTGGGTCTTCCTTACTTCCCTTTTCCAGTCAGTGGGAACTTCACTGAGCTGCCACACCTTCTCAAACATGATGGATAGTGGCTTAGCTACTTCCTTCACCAGTTCCTTCAGGATCTGGATGCATCTCATCCAGACCCATGGACTTGTGCACCTTCAGGTTCCTTAGATGATCTTGAACCTGGTGATCCACAGTGGGTGGTTCCATTGCCCTAGAAGTTCTTACAGAAAGCACATATGTCTAAGAAGAATCATACCACCATCTGCTCAAAGCTTCTTGGCCAAGCTCTTTACCACAGCGATAGTTTTCGGGAAAGGGTCTCAGCAGCAGTAGGAAAACCCAGGGAGAGGGCAGTGCTGTGAATGGAGTGAAAAAGACAAACCTGAAAGAGTTTTTGGTCTCTCTGGGAGTGTGGAGAGTCCGGTGGGTATGAAGCAGGTTGTTCAGGTAATGCACACAGTCAGCCTGTCCTGTCATCCTTTTTAGGAACAGAGAACACTCTAGGAACACATTTACCTACAAGGACACAAGATCATAAATCTTTCTCTTTATGCCAAATTAAGTCAGTTGTTACAGTGCCAGACAGGTCAGATTTTTTGGGGAAAAAAAGGTGTCATCTTACCCAGTGCGACGTGGGAATAGTTGCCAGTGAAAACCTAGGCAAGGAAGCTGTTGGCTAATCTCAGCTTTCTCCATGTCCATTGTCATTAGATCCCCTTTTGCCTAATGATAGGTGGCACTTCCTTTTATGAAGTGCCATGTGGTTATGTTTGAGAGTTTTGTTGTTGTTGTTATTGTCATCCTGGTAGCATAAGTGTTATTGGTAAATAACACTGGTAGAAAATCAAGATCTGATCTGAGCTACAAGTGCTTTATAGGTAAACTCAGCCATAGAAATACATCATCCGTCGTAGTTGATTAGCTGTGCTGATTCTGTCCCCTCCTCCAAATAGAACTAAATGTTTGGTGTCCAAAATCTCTTCACTTGTTTGAGTGACCTTGTTTGGTTGGTTTGTCTCCCCTCGCCCCTCCCAGAGTCTCCAAGAAACCTCGGGAGATGAAAGGCAAAAGCAGTAAAAAGATTTCTCTAAAATATACAGCTGCTCGACTTCATGAGAAGGGAGTGCTTTTAGAGATTGAGGACCTGCAAGGTAACCAGTGAGTATCCTTTTAAAACTCTTTAGAGCTCAATAACTTTCTTGTCTATTCCTTTGAACTACTCTGTGTGTTGGTAGATGAGGAACAGAAACTCTGAAATCTGTTTGAGATTGTGTCAGATTTTTGTTCTTGGAATTTTAGCATTGTTGGTAGACTTAGCTATTAAAGCTGAAGAAATTGTTTTGAGGATCCCTAGAGCCACAAAACCTTGCGTAGGGATTGCTTCTCAGTTCTTTTTTTCTGGTTGAAGCAAAGTGGTTCTTTGATAGAGAAGTGTAATGGAAGTGTAACATGACATCATCTTCCCACCTGCCCCTTCGCTGTCTACTATGGTTAATAGCTTTTGCTGTTGAAAAATCAGCTTAATGCAAGTTGAGTTTCTCCAGCTGTGCTTTGCTAGCCTTGCAAAGTTGGTATATATGGAGAAGTTGCCTGTTACTAGAATTTTTTCAACCCTGAATCATATTTTGTCCTCTGTGCACTAAATGAGGCCATGGATGTGCTGCACTAAAGTAGACTGTTCAGAGTGCATGGGCTAAATTATCCTATTTCCTACTATGCTTGTGTGAAGATGTGATCTACCAGACATAGAATCTGTTAGGCTTCCATTCATTGCTATATTGAGTCTGGTTGGTTTTTACAATCTCAGTCCAAATGGGGTTATAGAATAAAGAGTTAAGAATAGAATTCTTAGAAGTTTATCTTCAGATTTCATCTCATATATTCTCTGCCTGTTTCAGTAGCAATTACGTGTTCAGAAACAAACTGATTTCTCATTTCTCAAATTTCATAGATTTAAAAATGTGATATTTGAAATCAGTCCAACAGAAGAAGTAGGAGATTTTGAGGTAAAAGCAAAATTCATGGGAGTACAGATGGAAACCTTTATGTTACATTATCAGGTAAGAACTGTTCTATTTAATAGTGGCATGTAAGTTCCCCTTGCCAGACTCTTCATCAAAATAGTAATGGTGTATTTTCTGCCTGAACAGTCTGAAAAATGCTCTCAGGAATAACCCGTTTGTTGTTGGTGAAACAGATGCAACACATCCGAGGGATTCAGGCTGCTTTTTGTTTCTTCACCAGTGAAAGTCTGATGTCAGTCTGGATTCTTAGTCACATTTACATGTACACACACAAAACAAACACTTGCATTTTCAACAGCTTCCTGCTACAGCAGAGAGATTGGGAGTCTGTGGCAGCAGGCAGCTGGGCCTGGCTGTGATGGCTTCAGCCAGTCAGCATGGGTCGGGATTCTTTCTGCAACCATACGCTTGCCAGTTTTGCTACAGTTCTTAGGTGTCCTCAGCCTTTACTTATGCCAGGCTCCCAGAACAGCCATGCTGACTGACCTTTTCCCAAACTGTTCCCTGGTCTTTTTCTCAAGCCAGTAATGTTATGCATGGTGTCTCTGTCCCATTCTCCACTTCCGTCTTCACTCATCCCTCACCTGTCTTGGTCATCATTATGTTTGTTGATTGTGGATGCCTCAGGGGTCTCAAAACAGGCTGTGTGCAGGAGCACCTTACACTGCAGTTAGTCCATGACACCTAACTGTCTGCTGGGATGGATAGTCCATGACACCTAACTGTCTGCTGGGATGGACAGTCCATGACACCTAACTGTCTGCTGGGATGGACAGCTGCCTCGCACCCACCGTGTGCTTTGAGGACTCCCCTAGTTCATTCAGGTCCTAATCTATCAGAGCTGGTCATGAACTTCTTGGTTCCTAGGGCTACCTGAGGTCACTTGCAGTTGGGCACATGGTTTGCTGTGCCACTGTGCCTTTGTGGTATAGCACGGCTCTGTGGATAAAACAGATGTTCTGAGAGGACAGCAACAAAGGAACTGACATCACACACACCCTCCCACAGCCCCACACAGCCACCCCCATTGCCCTGCAGGAGCAGGATTGCCAAAAGGAATTAGTGGCCAAGACAAATCAGTGCAGGTGCATCACTGACGAAGTAAAGTGTGACTGGAAATACTGCCTACATAAACACACGAGAGGCTGAATTGGCATTGTGTACGTGGGAAGAGAGATGCCGTTTCTTTTTCTGTCCTAGACTGAAGTGCTCTAAACCACCTCTCTGAGATCTGTGGCAACCAAGATTTTTAGAAAGTAACACTGGAGGGTTGTAATGTTTCATGGGTACATGATACAGTTAGGCACATAGGAAGCCCTTTCTCAATGTCACAACAACTTTATGGCTACTGTGCAAATGAAAAGGCTGGAGATGGCGAGATCTGAAATTTAGCTTTCTTAGAATGGTTTACTTCTGCTCTCTTTCATAACTTTTTGTAAAATGAACACAGCTTAAAAAATCGCCATCTTAAATGCCTTAGAGTAACTTTATTTTTCACGCAGTAAGAGTGGATCCTTAATGAGTCTCTCATTCTGCTATCTTATGCTATGTCCTGTTTGATGGCTATTCCTCAAGTACCTACTGTGCTACAGGTTCTTTTATATTCTCTATTAGCTCTTGAGGATTCCTCACTCTTAAAGTTCTTCTCTTTGGCAGGATCTTTTGCAGCTGCAGTATGAAGGCGTTGCTGTCATGAAGTTGTTCGACAGAGCAAAAGTGAATGTCAATCTTCTGATCTTTCTTCTGAATAAGAAATTTTATGGGAAGTAACTGACCTCTGCCAGCAAGTCTGTGAAAGGAAATAGAAACCTGCATGTACAGCTTTTAATGATGTAGCTGTGTGTCAGTATGCCCATGCTGTGCTAAAATATATCAAACGCCTTTTGTGAATTGACAGCCCTGCTTGAGTCTATGGGGAGTTGGTTTCTTGTTTATTTATCATCTTCAGCTTTGAAGATCCCCTTTAAAGAAGTTAATTTAGAATGTATTTTTACATGGGATTGGGGATTAAACTAGTATTAGAGTATGCTTAGAGCATACGAATGCTTTATTGGCCTAACCGTATGCTTTATGAGGCTTGAATTCTTGTTGCCCATGCAAAGACAAAGCTGGCACTGTAGAGTGGTCTGTTTGCCGTTTCCTAAGAGCAAAATCTGGATTGCAGGTTGGATTTGGACTCCAGTTATTCTCAAGCAGCAATAACCAAAATACAGCATGGTCAAGGTCCAGGATCCTGCTCGTTTTGCAGGCTTGCAGTGGCAGTGGTGGCAGTGGCAGCTGCCAAGGTGGAGCTGCTGCGCTTGGGGGAATCAGTAAGCATCATAGACATGCCAAACTATATGTGATTATGTACTACAGCCATGTAGAACAGCTTTAGTGTCTCATTTTTCTTCATTTGTTTCTGTTTATCAGAATGTAATAATTTACAGGTGGCCCCTTAAATGCAGGCACTGCGGAATGTATTTACTAGTGTTTATGGAAAAAAAGAAACTTTTTGGGGAAAGGGAGGAAAGCTTAAAAAATTTCTAGAGATGTTAACTTTTAATGTTGCTTGCAAAGCATATGAAATGTAAAAAGAACTTTTTTCTTTCAGTTTAGAGCAGTGCTCTATATATCTGTGTATCTGATGCCGTAAACGTTAGGCTCTGCCTGTAGACTTGTCAAAGGAAGAAGACTATCTCAAATAGGTTAGCTTTTAAAAAGTTATTTTTTTCTAGCTATACTCAAGTTCCTGTTTCTTTTATTACTTTGAGGGGGTTTTGTTTGCTTTTTTGACCATGGTGGTGGTGCTGGCTGTTCTGCTATATCCAATAAAAATGCAAAGACTCTTAAAAAAAAATCTGACCTTTAAATTCATTATTTGCTTCAGCTCTTCCCTCAATTTTTTCCTTAACTTTTTTTTTTTTTAAGGGACATATCTCTTAATTGCAAAATCCAAGTTATTCATGGTCACTTACATTGTTTATTCTGATTACTGTCTGAAGCCAGTTGCTTCAGCTTAGACCTGGTTTTCTCATGAAAGACACTCCTAGTATTTGGAATGGTTGTGTGACTGAGGATAAATTTTTCTGCAGTCTTCTTGGAAGGGAATATATATTTCAACTTGCTGGTGTTTATACTGTATTTAAACATATTCCGGTGTTGGTGCATGTGTGGCCCAACCCTATAACTAAAATTACTTGCCAAGCCCAAGAACAATCATTATAGTTCAGATCATCTGAAACAGAGATAGGTCAGAACTGAATTTCCACAGTAATCTGACAAAGAGGTCTGAAATGGGATGAAAGTCTTGCCTTGATGATTTTTTTTTTTTTGGAGGGGAGTGTGT